TAAAGTAGAACCCTTTGCAGTCTGCTTAAGATATAAAATTTATGAGAAGAAGCAGGACATGGTGGCCCGGACCAGTCTGACTACACGACTTGCTGCCCCGAGAAACAATCAAATGGCGTGGAGAGACAGCTGCATGAGTTCAGTTCCAGGCACCTCTGTGGTAGTTCAGACTGAGTGTAATTTCAGTTCCAGGGGATCCAGTACCCTCTTCTGGCCTTTCAGATGCTAGGCTTGCACATGGTGCTCAGATATGTGTGTAGGCAAACACATACAAAAATTAATAAAATACTAACAACAAACAAATACATCAAGAAGCATGGGCGCTCTGGTTATGCCCATGACCACAACATGGTTAGGAGATACTGCGCCTGTGGAGCAAGGGGATGGGTGCTCTGTGCTCTGGTGTTCTGTTTGGAGTGGACTTTGAATCTGGGCCTCTTGCCTCAGCCTCCTGAGTGCTGGGATTACAGGCATGTACCATGGCACCTGGCTCATGAGACACCCTTCTTGGCCATCAGGAATTCCCAGTAAATAGGGCTCTGTTTCAGTAGGTCCCTTCTTTAGAACTTACCCCTGTTGATTTTACATCCCAGATCTTGTCACGGCTAGACAGGTATGTCTGGTGGTTAGAAATGTCTTTTGGGGTAAAACAGACCTGGTTTTAAATCCTCACTTAAACCTCCTGACGTTTAGCGAGCTTATCTTTTTTTAAATTATTTTATTTTATGTGCATCGGTGTTTTGCCTTCATGTATGTTTGTGTAAAGGTGTTGGATCCCCTGGAACCAGAGTTGCAGACGGTTGTGAGCTGCCATGTGGGGGTGCTGGGAATTGAACTCTGGTCCTCTGGAAGAGCAGCCCGTGCATCTCTTGCAGCCCTGCAAGTTTACCTTTTTAAGCCTGATTTTGTCATCTGTGAAATGGGCCCACGGGTCACATTGCACACAGTACTTTCCTTGTGTGGTGTTCGTGGGTTGCCGTGGCGGCTGCTGGTGAAGCTTCAGCGCTGTTTTAAGCGTTAGTGCCCGTCTTTGGCTGTTGTACTCACCCATTTGCTAACCGGCTTTCTCTTTGTGAACCAAAAGCTGTCTGTGACCCTGGGATACACACTCTTCCAAACCTGTGTGAGGACAGTCACCCAGAGCTGGCCCGGCCCTGAGTCAGGGAGGTGAGATCTATCATGGGGCTTGGGGACTGGGCCCGAGTGAGCCCAGAGAAAGAGCAAGGGTGGGCGGGGACAGGAGCCCTGTCTCTCAGAAGGTGGTGTTTACTCAAGGTGACATTTGAGAAGAAGTGGTCACTGAAACCGGCTTCCAAGACTTAGGGTTGGCTTAGCCTTTAATTAATCATTTACAGCGTGTATTTTGTCACAGTCGTAATTGGGCTGATGCTCCCCACACCGTGGGAAGGGGAAGGCACTTGTTAGAAGAGCTGTAGATTAAATGACTCATCTGAGGTCAAGCACTTAATAAGCAGCTGAGAGAGCAGCCTGACTGACAGGCTGGCATCTCCTCCCCTCTGCCTCCTGTGGCAGGTGCACCCACCCTGGCCCCCCAGCCTAACTGTGAGCTAGGCGCCAGGCTTCACGCCGTTTCTCAGGATGTTTCTTTCTTTCTTGGCTCTAACCTGAGAGAGCCCTTTCCTCACCACCTGCCAGGCGGCTTGGTCCCGGCTGGGCCTGACCTTGTGTGTCTATTTATGGCCTTGCTGTCTCTCCCAGCCCTGTCAGAGTAACCCTCACGCCGGAGGGCTTGCCCACTCTCCTCCCTGTGTACCCGCCGTTCCTGAGCTCTGGACGTGTTGGGTGTTCACAGGTTACACATTTTTAGAAAGGGCGGGTCATTGTCACTGATGAGAAGCTGTGAGAATGTGACCCCAGAGCCTGGTGGCCTCCTCACTCCCCTCTCCCCTCCTCTTGTAGCCTGCCAAGAAGCCGAGGAAAAGGGGGGGAGGAGGAAGTGTACTGGAGGAGCCAGCCAGTACACTCTCTGCGTACGCGCTGCGGGGAACTTCTGGTGCCCTGAGCCAATGGTTAAGCCTGAATTTCTGCTGTGTGCCTGGTCTCGGTGCTGCCAGCCTCTTCCTGTGTGGGTATTGGTTGTTGAAGGCAGCAGGCACACTGGCTAAACGCTTAGATGATGAAGAGACCACTCTGCCCCATCCAGTTGGTGTCGTAACCTTGAAACCCAGTTCCATAACTTTCTAGCCTCAGTCTTCCTCTCTGTAAAATGGAGATGACTTCACGGGGTGTTTTGGGAATGTGATACAACCCATATGAGATCTGTAGTGTAGACTAAGCACATGTTGAATACTCGGTTAAAGCTGATTGGTAGTGTGTAATTCATGTCAGGTGTCTCCAGCTGGATTCTTAGGTCTGCTACCTCTGCGTTGTCCCTCATGCTGCCCTCAGAGACATAGCCTTAAGGGGAGGAGCTCTGGGGAAAGGGCCGTGGAAGTCCGGGGTGTTTGGGTGGGGCTCAGCTGTGATTTATCGTTCACTACAGAGTGCGACACTTTGGTGTGAGCCTTTTGTTTGGTTGTTTGCTTTAGTTTTGGATGAAATTTTTCATTGGCTTGTTTGGCGGTTTCCACAGGGGGGAAATCACTCAGAGGGAGTAGGTGCTATGTTGGGAGCTGGCCTTTCTCAGTTTCTTCAGCAAAACAGCTCTGATGTGTGAGGCTGGATCGGTTTGTGGTGAAGGGCAGCCCTGACTGAAGTGGCTGAATCTTCTCATCCAAGGGACAACATGGGGTTAGAGCAAGGGGACTCTCTGGGATGTTAGAGCTGTGTAGAAAACACACACCCAGTTGGGCTTCTTTGTATTTGGAGATGGGGCGTCTCACCAAATTGCCCAGGCTGGCCTTGAACTTGCAGTTCCCCAACCTCAGTGTCTTTGCGGCTGGCAGGTTCTCCCTCCGCTTTAAAAAGAGAAACACGTGGAATCCTCACAAACATATCATAGCTGTTGTCAAGTAAAAAATAAAACCAGACTGGGAGTTGTGCACTCCTGAGATCCAAGAGACTTAGGCGGAGGCAGGAACATTGTAAGTTCAAAGCCAGCTTGGGCTTTTTAGTGTAACCTTGTCTTAAAGTGCAAAGATAAAAAGGGCTGAGGATGTTAGGTCTTGCTTGTTCTATTTCAGGCCCTGGAATCGATTCTTTGAAATTTTGTTTATTTAATTAATCTTTTTGTGTATGAGTGCACTGCCCTTGGAAGCCAGAAGGCATCTGATTGAAGCTAAAGGTGCTTGTGAGGGAATCAGTTCTTTAAGTACCACCAAAAACATAAAGGAGGGGCTGGAGAGATGGCTCAGGGGTTAAGAGCACTGAATGCTCTTCCAGAGGTCCTGAGTTCAATTCCCAGCAACCACATGGTGGCTCACAACCATCTGTCATGAGATCTGGTGCCCTCTTCTGGCCTGCAGACATACATGCAGACAGAACACTGTATACATAAAAAATAAATCTTAAAAAAAAAAAAATGAAGGAAAAAAAAATAGTCTGCAGACAGAAAAAGAACGGCCGCCCTGATCTCCATGTAAATGCTTTCATGACTTAAAATGTTCATAAGGCTAACAATTTAGAACACTTGTCTATTTTTTATAATTTATTTATTTATTATGTATACAATACTCTGCCTTCATGTACGCCTGCAGGCCAGAAGAGGGCACCAGATCTCATTACAGATGGTTGTGAGCCACCATGTGGTTCCTGGGAATTGAACTCAGGACCTCTGGAAGAGCAGCCAGTGCTCTTAACCTCTGAGCCATCTCTCCAGCCCCAGAACACTTGTCTATTAACATAGGATTTTGCTTCTATTATTGAAGCACCAGATGAAGTGACTATTATGTTGTTCTATTATTAAATAGAACTTGGGAATCAGATATTGGAGTAAGAACCTGATAGTTCCAAAGAGCAACGGAGAACTGATCAGTTGACCCTGCCTCTCCACACTTCCAGATCAAAAAGACTCTCAAATCTTTCTGAGCCCCTCCCTATTCCTTCCTGTGTCTCTCTATCCTAATCTGGGTCAGCCAAAAACCCTATGGTTAATTCTGGCCAACTAAATGTTGACTCCAACCTCTTGATTCAAGGTTTAACTTTATTGGCAGTCAGGAATGTCAGACTACAATCAAAATATCCCACAGCGTATTATTGCAGGGGCTTATTTTATAGCCAAGGCTGCCTTCTAACTCTCTTTGTAGACCAGGCTGGTCTTGAACGCATGATGCTTCTGCTTAAGCCTCCCAAGTGCTAAAATTATCCAAATGCGTCACCACCATCTGACAAGTTTATTGTTTGAAAAAAAAAATGAATTTCCAGCTGGATATGGAGGCGTCCCAGCACTTGGGACACAGAGGCAGGTGCACCTCTGTGAGTTCAAGGTCAGCTTGGACTACATAGTGAGTTCCAGGACAGCCAGGGGCTATTTGAATTGTTAACCCCTCAACCAACCACTGAGTGTGCAGGGTTAGTGGTTTTCTGATCTGCTGGTGGGAATGTGACCTGTGTTTTGCTGGCTTCTGGAAGATTGGTCCATCTGTTGGCTTTGTTTTCTAAGACTGTGAACACCACAGACAACTTTGTTCAAAACAAGTATTAGCACAGCACTGAAACAATTAGTATCTTTGGGTTGCATTTCCAGTGGAATGTCTTCTCCGTCAGACCAACTCCATGAGTTTTCCTTTGCACTGGGAACACTCCGTGGCCACCATAACTGAGATCATTGATGGCGTTAACCCAACAGGAACTCGTGGAGTCTAGGAGGAAGTGAGGAAGGACAGGTGGCGGGAGGTTGAAAGACCCCCTTTGTGCCTGATCCCTACTGCCTGCTTTGAAATGCTTCGACTTCTAAACTTGTAGTACCAAGGCCCGAGAGGCAGGGCACTTTTTAGCAGTGCATGCTTTCACGATTCCAAGTATGTTGACAGTTGGGAATTCATTGCACTGATCACGAGCAACCCACAGCCTAAAATCCCCTGGCTCTCTTGTCTTCACAGGTGTTGGGGCGATGTTTCCTGACGGTGGTGCAAGTCCATTTCCAGTTTTTGACTCACGCCCTGCAAAAAGTCCAGCCGGTGGCTCACTCTTGCTTTGCCGAGGTAGTTGTGCCGGAAAAAAAGAACAGCAGTCTGTGTGGCATGGGCCACACCCCCGAACTGGAGGAAGCCGTTCGGTCCTGGCGAGGAGCTGCTGAGGTGAGTGACCCTGGAGGCTTGTCGCAGAGCAAGGCACAGGCGGGGAGGTGTCTACACCAGAGCAGGGCACAGGCGGGGAGGTGTCTACACTAGAGCAGGGCACAGGCGGGGAGGTGTCTACACCAGAGCAAGGCACAGGCGGGGAGGTGTCCACACCAGAGCAGGGCACAGGCGGGGAGGTGTCCACACCAGAGCAGGGCACAGGCGGGGAGGTGTCTACACCAGAGCAGGGCACAGGCGGGGGGGGGTGTCTACACCAGAGCAGGGCACAGGCGGGGAGGTGTCCACACCAGAGCAGGGCACAGGCGGGGAGGTGTCCACACCAGAGCAGGGCACAGGCGGGGAGAGCAAGGGCCCTGCTTCTGAATGGGAATGGTGTGGGAACGCCAAAGAGGAGACCAGTGGGCAGCCGGCCTGACTGGCGAGGTGAACCTCACAAACACCAGGGTTTCCGGAATGTGCCACCACTGCTGGTGTTTGTGGTGCTGGGGACAGAACCCTGAACTTCATGTATGCTAGGTAAGCGATCCTAGCATGCATGAAACGGAACTGCATCCTCAGCCCTGTTGGGGCGCATTGTGTTATTGTTCTTGTTGTTTTATCTTTATTTATTTATTAATTTTTTTGAGACAGTTTTTCTGTAGCCCTGGATGTCCTGTAGACCAGGCTGGCCTTGAACTTAGATATCCACCTGCCTCTGCCTTTGAGTGCTGGGAATAAAGGTGTGTGCCACCACTGCCCAGCTGTTGTTTATATTTTAAAGATTTATTTTTAGTTGTGGAGGCGGATATATGCATTGACTGTAGGTGCCTATGGCGGTCAGAAGGATGATCAGATCCCCTGAACTGCTTGGTGTAGATGCTAGGAACTAAATTCAGGGCCTCTGCAAGGACAGTGCACACTTTAGTCTCTGAGCCATCTCTCTAGCCCGGGCGCTGCTGCCTTTGGAGATGAGCTCTCACTTTGCAGCCCAGACTGGCCGCTACTTCATGGCGTTCTGCCTTGGCCCTCCACGGCGGGGATTACAACCTTGAGCTGCTTCTGTGGCCGTCTTGATCTCTGAGAAGTGTTTGGAATCTTTGTAACCTTTGTTGCGCAGCCATGAGGACAGGAGTTTGGGTTCTAGTACCCACGGGCACACCTCTAGCTCCAGCTCTGAGTTTGCTGACTGTCAGCGTAGCCGACACCATCGTTAAAGTGATTTCCAGGGTTCGGGGAGAGACTTTGCTGTGAAGGGTATGACAGTGAGTGAACAATAGCCACCTGGTGCTGCAGGTGTGTCCTTTCCCACACACACGTGACTTAGAAATCTGTAAGAAGATTCTTCCCTGTTGTTTCCAGCCCTGCCTGTCCTGGAACTCACTCTGTAGACCAGGCTGATCTCGAACTCACAGAGATCCGCCTGCCTCTGCCTCCCAGGCGCTGGGATTAAAAGCGTGCGCCACCACCTTCCAGCTCTGTAAAAAGATTGTTCTCAGACAGACAGACCCAGGAAGACGAACGCATTTCCTCAGGTATGCAGAACCTGATTTAAATCTGTAGATGTGTGTGTTTGTGCGATGATACGGAAGGAGGAGGTCTTGGGGCAGGAAGAGAGGAGGAGGAGGAGGTCACACGTCATGTGGCGTGAGAGCGAAACAGGGCCGGGTGTCAGAGCCGGAGAGGACAGTGGTGGAGGGGTGAGTTACAACAAGTGTAGTACAAGTGTAGTGGCCAGAAAATAAGTAGAAAAAAGCGCTTCTGGTCTAATGGCTAGAACCTCCGTTATCAGTTGCTGTGCATGTGATGCGAGCCGTTTTCTATCAATTTATTTGACACACGAAGTCTTTCATTTTTTAAAGCTGAGTTGCTTCCCAGCACACTTCTCGGAGAAGCACGATGGAATGGCAAGGTGATCATATGTGCGGGAGGGGACAGTTCACCGTAAGCATTTACCTCCTTGCTGAGGACCTGCTACAGACATGGGCTGCAGGCTGTGTCCTGCCTAGTAGACAATCCCTTCTCTGGCCACTCTAGCGTGGCAGTCTCTCGTCCAGTGGTTCTCAGCGCGTGGGTCATGACCCATTCCGGGGCCTTTCACAGGGGTCACCTACGACCACTGAAAAACACAGACATTTACAGTACAGTCCACAGCAGTAGCAAAGTCACAGTTAGAAGCAGCAATGGCTAGAGGTGACCACAACATGAGGGACTGATTTAAGGCTCCTGCACACAGAAATATCTTGTCTCCCATCCAGGCTTGAGGCCATTTGGTGGTTTTTTAGAGTAACTCTGTAACTGCTTCTGAAGTTCTTATTAAGCTGATAATGCCTTATCTCTAAACATCTTTAACCAGGCCACAGCCCTTTATGAGCAGGAGAGGCAGGAAGATGACATTGTGGTCATGAGGCAGTTCTCTTACAGACTCCTAGCAGCCCACAAAGGCCACCTGACTAAGAGGAAGGCTTGCACTGCGCTGATGGCCGTGGGGAGCAGCACACCAGGACTGGCCCCACGCTTACGGTCTGACCCCAAAAAGGCTGGACTGTGACAGTCAGTATAAGCCTAAAGGCCGGCAGAGGAGTGCAGAAAAACCTGGACCACGTGTGCTCCTTTCTTGCTGAATTTTAGTGGTTCTCTTGCAGACACGCTGACAACCCTTTTTCCAGTGAGAGAAAGAAAAAGCAAACCCTCAAAGTTGAGACTTTACTAAGACTCGCTGTTCTATTTTATAGAACACAAGAACGTTAATTTCTTATGTGATGTCTAATTTGAGTCACTCCACAAGTTAAGTTGCAATGATTTGTGTTTTGTTATAGGGCTTTTTTTCTTCTGGATTTTCGAGACAAGGTTTCTCTGTGTAGCCGTGGGTGTCCTGGAACTCACTCTGTGCACCGGGCTGACCTCAAACTCACAGAGATCTGACTGCCTCTGCCTCCCATTCTGGGGTTAAAGGTGTGGGCCACCACTGCCTGGCTTGCTATAGGATCTTATAGGACCTATATCCAGGCATGGTGGCAAACACGTGTATCCTAGCACTTGGGAGGTGAGGCAGGAGGATTCAGGAATTCAAGGTCATCCTTGCTTACATAGTGAGTTCAAGGCCATCTTGGGGTACGTGAGACGCTGTCTCAAAACAACCAAAAATAAATTGATCTTCTGTCTCTTCTTGAGACAGGATTGTATGGGTTTTAGCATTGTGCCATTTCTTGACTTTGCAATATTTTATTGTGCTGTTGTTCATCCTTCCTTGCTGTTGTTTGTTTGACTTTTTCATGTAAAAGGCTTTCCTCAAGGCCAGTTGGAGGTTGTGTTAGGGCTGGGACCTGCTGGTGTCCCCTCCACTGCCCGTGTCCCCTCACTTACCATGTCCCCTCCACCAGCAGACCTTTGTCTGTCATCTGAAGGGGAGTTTCTCATGGTTCAGTGTTAGGTTCCCTTTTCCTAAGGATCTCTACCCAGTGTTGGGACTTAGACCACTCCTGTGCAGGTGGGGGTGGGGTCTTCAAATGTGTGTGGTCAACCCGCTCTCCATGGGCTCCAGGGCTCTGAATGAAGCAGCTACCTATCTTGGGTTCCCCAGGTGGCTCGGATTTGGCTTCTCACACACATTTCTCTCTATAGCATCCTCATGCGGGTCGGGATGCCATCTGACACTAGGCCATGCATCTAAGACCCCGGACTGACCTTCCCGTCTTCCCGTCATGCGGGTCGGGGTGCCATCTGACACTAGGCCATGCATCTAAGACCCAGGACTGACCTTCCCGTCTTCCCGTCTGCATCCAGTCTGGTGCTTAGGCAAGCCCCCTGCAGTCATCCAGATGCTCTCAGGACTGCTCCCCGCTGCCAGCCCCTGCACCTAGCCTGTCTGCTGTCACTTCCTAGGTTTCTGAGGGTGGGCCACACTTTCCTGAACCGTGTCTCCCACTCTGCTCACCACTGTGACTTCAGAGTCTGACTGCCCGCTTCTCATGCGGTTACGGTCAAATGTGGAAGCCGCATGTGACATAGTGAGCCCTGCCGTGTGAGGCGACTGTCTTGCTCTGGCCATTGTCCTGTGTTCTCGTGCTTTGTGGAGTTCCTTGGGCTGTTTTGGATCCTGGTGAACATTAGGACTCATTAGTGCCCTGACCTACCCTCACCCTACCTGAGCGCATGCAGTCCCAGCTGCCAACCCAAACTGCCGTTTTATGAGACGGGATCTTGTTGTATAGCCCAGTGTGGCCTGGCCTTAGAGCACTGGGGTTACAGGGTTTCTGAAGATGTCCCCAGTGCCACGTCAGTGCCTGTGTGCTCCCTGCTACGAGGCCATCGTCCCCAGGAAGGCAGGAACCAGGCTTTATGTCCTAGTTAGCTAGCACAATCCCTGGAGACTAATCCTTTCACTGGAAGATTCTTAGAAAGAGTCAGATGGTTTTAAATCTTAAGACTATTAAGTTTCAGGGTTTCGTTAGACTGTAAGCTGGTGTGTACATATGATGTGTGAAACCAAAAGCCTTCAACTTGACAGCATTGAAGCTGCTAGTTTCTGTAGTTTCTTTTTTTTGGGGGGGTGTTCAAGGCATGGTTTCTCTGTATGGCTTTGGAGGCTGTCCTGGAACTTACTCTGTACCATGCTGGCCTGGAACTCACAGAGATCTGCCTGCCTCTGCCTCCCGAGTGCTGGTATTTATTTATTTAATTTAATTTTGCTAGTAACTGTACTGTCCTCTTTTACCTACGGCTACTGTTTATGTCTTAGGCAACATCCAGGTTAAGAGAGAGAGGCTGTGATGGGCGCTTGGCAGGAATTGAAGTCCAGCAACTCTTTTGTTCTCAAAGTGCAGCGATTCCTGAGCACCAGCTAAAAGAGCTGAACATAAAGATTGACAGTGCTTTGCAGGTAAGTGTTTTAGCACTGATGTTGGGCCAGTTAAAAAGGTAACAAGTAATAATAACTAGGAAGATTTAAACATAGTATTCTTTTTTTTTTTAAAGATTTATTTATTTATTTCATATACAGTGTTCTGCCTACATACCAGAAGAGGGCACCAGATTGAATTGTAGATAGTTGTGAGCCACCATGTGGTTGCTGGGAATTGAACTCAGGACCCCTGGAAGAGCAGTCAGTGCTCTTAACCTCTGAGCCATCTCTCCAGCCCTAAACATAGTATTCTTATTCTTTGAGAATTTCATGTATACACATACAGTGTATTTTAGTCATATTCACCCACCTATCCTTCCCTAACCCCTTCCATAACTGTAGAAACTAAGTTCCTGTTTTTGCTGGGCTCTGTCATATTCTAATCTGCGGCATAACCTTGATTCTTGCAGGCATATAAAATAGCGTTGGAAAGCTTAGGCCACTGTGAGTATGCAATGAAGGCTGGCTTCCACCTGAACCCAAAGGCCATTGAAGCAAGTTTGCAGGTACACTCTTCTCTCCAGTTGAGAGCCCATGCTTTGCCGTGTGAGCCATGCCTCACCTCCCCTCTCCTCTGCAAACCTTCCAGGGCTGCTGCAGTGACGCCGAGGCCCAGCAGACGGGGCGAAGGCAGACACCCCCACAGCCCATGCAGTGTGAGCTCCCCACCGTCCCTGTGCAGATAGGACCGCACTTCCTGAAGGGGGTCTCCTTCAATGAGTCGGCTGCTGACAACCTGAAGCTTAAGACGGTAGCTTCCCATGGTTTCCTTGGGTTCAAGCAACTGAGCGTGAACATAAATAGAACTATTACGGGAAACGTCAGGCCCGTAGATTAAACATGTAGATTAAAACCTCGCTGGAGATCATGGAAAGGGCCTCTCTAACGTTCCTGAGTACAGTGATGGCCAATGCAGGCTGGGATGTCTCTTTTTGTGATGTGTGGTGCTAGGGGTTGAACCAGGGCCTCACGCATGCATAGCAAGCATTAAATCACACCCAGCCCTAGGGTAGCATAAGACATTTGCTAAGAAAGTTTTATTAATAATTTTGTTCCAATGTTTAATAGACTTTGAGAGAACACTGTGAACTACTGTTGATTTATTAATGCTTACTGGTTCATTTTTTTAGAATTAAGCAATAGAAATCTTAGTCTTTTGTGAAGCATCATAGGTGCAGGAATTACAGCAAAGTGCTTCGCATGCATTGTTTTTATCTAATTCATGGTCTCATTGAGGCGTGGCTATTCCCCCTTGCTCCCATTTGACAGAGGAACTGAGGCCCGAAATGACATGCCTAGGAATTGGGAGAACTGTTATGTTCTCCTGTACTCTGTGTTGTCCTCTAAAAAAGTTGAGGTTGGGCCAGGCT